GGGAGGAGAGCCTTAAAACAGTTTCAGGCTAGAGATTTAAATGTGTGAATTACCAGTGGAAGGCTGATAGTTGGCAAGTGCCCGAGTGCATGAAGGAGAAGATGGAAGGATGTGTTAGATGTCCGGATTTGTTACTGGGAGGTCAGAGAACTCCCAAGCTAATTCTGAAGGGGTCTCGAGTTTAACTGTCTCGGTGCATGGTGTTACAAGGGCACTGTGGGAACACCAAGGTGGGAAGACGGAGCATTTGCTCTTGCAGTCTGGAAACCCACACTCTAAGTGTTGAGTAGCTGTGCAGGCATGAGGCCCAGTGACACCAGTGGTGTGGCCTTGGAAGTTTCTCTGATGTTAGTGACAGGCTTATTTTTGAATGCTCCTTTAAATGATTCAATTCTGGGCAACCCATGCCCTGGGTTGTGCTGCCCCTCTTTCAATCCCTGGGCTCCATTGTTCCTCCTCCTTGTCTTTTTCTCCTAAAATCTGTAGGCAGACCCTGTCCTTGGGATGGATGTATACTGAAGGTTCTAAAGCCATCTTTTATCAGGCTCGCATGCTGGAAGATGCATCAAGTGTCACAGCTGGCCTTGCATGTCTTTCCCATACCCAAAAGAATGAAAACAGTAAAAACAAGCTCCACTGATAGGAGATTCTTGGGGGGTAGAAAGGCCCTTTGGCCTTTCTTCCTGGCAGAAACAGGTCTGTGTTTGTCCTAAATAACGTGTGCATGTTTGAGCAGGAACATCTAGGAGATGTGAAGATTCTGTGTAGCAATGTGAACAGGAACTCTCAGAGCATAGGTCAAGCTAGCATCACAGGTCTGGGACCTTTTCAGAAATTAGGGTCGCAAGCCCACCCAGACCTACAGAGAGCAGTGATGATATATTACTTATGATTTATTAAAGCTTGCTTGAGGATTCGAAAGCAAAGCCAGCCAAAAAGCTATAGAGATCAGGCAGTGGTGATGAACACCTTTATTATCAGCAGCCAGAAGGTAGGAGGTGGTGGTACTCACCTTTAATCCTAGGACTCAGGGTTAAGAGGTAGACAGATTTCTGTGAGTTCAAAGCCATCCAGTTCTACAAGATTGATCCAGTCCTAAAAAGAAACAGTTCACACAGAGATGATTTCTGCACCTGGGATCATATGCATTTAACCGCAGCATTAGGGCGGTATATGAGGCAAGGTCTCAGATTAGGGAATTCATTCCCCAGCCACATTGAGAATAAGAATACTCCAGCCCTGTTAGAGGTGATTGATCTGTAGTAGCTTGGATGCTTTGCCTCCCTTATCTTCAGCTTGAACCCCAATATCTGTCTCGGGGTCCTTTTATTATTTGTGCTATAGAGAAGTGTGTGTGGATGGGACCCAGAGATTTTTGTTTTAATGAAACCACTGGAAGGGGCTGACAACCCCTGCTTCAAAGGATGCTTAGAGAGCATTGCATTGTGGCCTTACTGTATTGTCGTGGGGGTCCTAGCAGGCTAAAAGCTTGAGGGATGCATGCTGAGCTGTGTTGCTTTATTGTTTAAAATTGGCAAGTGCAGTGTTGGTGTGGACCAACCTTAACTTCAGGAGACTGCTCTGGCTTCCTTTGTAGTTGTGACTAACAGACAGTAGGAGGGAGGGTGCTACGAACCCCGTTTCCAGGGTTACCTTCTTGCTACTGATAACAGGCAGGAAATTAAAACAATCTGTGATAAAGCTTTGTTCTTATTATCCACAGATGGCAGCTTTCAGATATGTGGGAGTAAAACATAAGTAAATATATCTGGGAAACTTCATTATTGAATAAAAATGACTTGGTGTGGTCAAGTTGATAGCCTGGGTTCTTTTTAATGAAATGGGACATAGGCAACATGCTAGGGTCTCAGTTCTACACAAAGCTTTAAGCCTTATGAGGACAAATAGGTTTCTTCTTGGTTTGATTCTGAGTATATAAACGTTTATATGAATTCAAAGTCAAAACTATATGACATGGGCCGGAGAGATGGCTCAATGGTTAAGAGCATCTGCTGCTCTTTCTCAGAACTCAAGTTCAGTCCCCAGCACTTCTTACTCCAGCTCCAGTGCCCTCTTGTGGACTCCACAGGCACCTGCACTCACATGTGCAATATGACAAATTATATTTTTAAAACAGTTCATTTCCAGGTGTTTCCCCCTTTTTTCTTATTTGTAACCCTTTACAAGTAATTGTTTCATTATTTAGACTTTTACCATTTCTTTTGGGGGTAAATATTCATATGCTATACATGAAAAAAATTAAGTGAATTTTATTAAGGTACAAGTACTATCTCTTAATTCTACAAGATGTGAGTTGGGACACATATATATATATATATATATACAATATACACATAATATAGTTATTTGGCTGCTAAGGCAACAATGTGGGCCCGGTCTACACTCCAGAAAGTTTCTTTCTGTCATTTTGTAGCCAAATCCTTTCCCACTTCTTTCTCCACCTATCCTCTCTCCGCTACTATACTATAGCCTGTCCTAGAATTTCATTCTTTGGGCAATTGTGTGTCACTGTGTAGTTTCTCCAGACTACACAACTGAACTGAAGGGACTAACGAGTTCATGACTAGGGGACACAGCCTTCTCAGACCACAACTGCATATGTGATCTGTCATTGGCTGAATGTCGCTGTGCAGTGCACAAGAGTAGCCTTTCACATTTCCATGTGCCTTTATGCTTCAGGGACTCAACATATCATCATGTGTTGCTAGTTACTTGTGTTTTTCATTGAGTCATACTCCACTGTTTATGCATTGCAGTTATTGGATATCTGTTTTTTAATTTTGAAGTAATTTTAGATTTCAGACAAAATTACAAAGATGGTTCAGAAAGTTTTCATATACCATTTCACCAGCTTCTACCAAAAAAGTCTTACATGCCCACAGTATAGTTACTAACACTTAAGGAGTCAATGTTGGCATAATGCTGTTAACTACGTACTTCATTCAGGTTCTGGTTCTGATTTTAGTTTTAATTGCACTTAGCTATCATATTTCACTAGTCTCCTCAACTCTGATAATTGCACAACTTTTTCATTTTTTTTAATGACCTTAATGGTCCCCCATCCCCCGAAGAATACACTTCAAGCCACACCTGATGGTGCACTCTTTTTGTCTCAGCTGCTTTGGGAACTTGGGAAGCCAAGCTGTGAGCTGGGAGGGTTAGGAGTTCAAGAGAAGCCTAGGTAACTTAGTGAGACCTTGTCTCAAGACAAAAGAAGAAAACTCTACTTAAAGCGATCTTATAGTGTAGCATATTCCTCAGTTTTAATACAGTGCAGGTTATATCCAATATATGTCCTAGAAATGGCTGAGTTTCCCTGTTCTGCCAGGTTTCTCCACTGAAAGATGCTGTCTGCCCCATGGTGTGCCTAGCCTAAGGTCCAAAAGCCAACTGGTGACAGAACCAGATTTCAACTTAACCTAATTTGGACTCTTATATTTGCTGTGTAGTCATGAGAACTTTGAAGATTTCCTTCGACAGAGAAAATGGAGGCCTGACATCCCACGATTCTCTTTTGTTCATTCAGAATCAGTGCTTTGTTGTCAGTCTCATCATATTTCTCATGTGACTAAAGATTTTAGTGAGCTGTACGTGGCCTTATCATGATATTAAACTCTTGGAGAATTCAGAGTACTTCCGGGAATACCAAGGAGCTATATTTAAACTGCTTTCAGAAATACAACCAAAGGTTAGGGCAGAGTGTTCTGCATAGGAGACAGAGAAAGAATATTTACTTAGATGATGACAGAGAGCTTGTTCCTGCCCTGTTCTATGCTGTTCTGTGTGTTTAAACCCTACACACATCCATTCTTGCTGGCCACACTAGTGACTCTCCTACCACACAATCCCAGGCGACTCCAAATAGATGAGCACAGTGGTTTATGCATGACTCAGTAGCAGAGCTGCTGAAGGTCAGGCTGTGGGGCGGTGGGCGTTTGCACATCTCTGACTCACGGCCTGCCTCTCTAAGGGGGAAATAGCTGTGGGTGGCTGCAAAGACATGCTCATCTCCCCACACCTGTCTCATTGTACTGAGTGAATTGGGTATTCCCCAAATCCTTGAAGTTACACACTGGCTGTCTTGGTGTTTATCTGGTCTGTCAAGCTATGAGATCAGGGTTTCCCTATGCATGTATCTGTTTTCTAAAAGTGAGAAAACAACCTCTGTGTAGCATCTTTTCTTATTTGACAATGACACATGACATCTCTGTACAATATTAGGGCACCCACCAGTTTGTCAGTACCGTGGCTATACTTCAGTGGTGATAGCTGTGGCTTATATTCCTTTATCTTGCTGTCACAGGGTGCTCTTGCTGTCACAGGTTGAGCTCAGTGCTCCCTTGGACATCCTTCACCTTTGCAGGTGAGAAAGGGACACTTACTGAGGGCAGCTTTCAAACATACAGCATTTTGTTTGAAATGTCCCTTGTACATCTGGCCGTACATCTGCGGCTCACAGCTTACATATGACCACTGCTCCCTAGAGAGGCACACATGTGCAGATTATACGATTTATTTCTTTAGGAAGGCAACCACTTAGAGTAAGTCTGATGCTTCCCCAAATAACTTTGGAGAACTTTGTGAAGTACAGAAAATTATTTGGATATAATAGAGGGCAAGTTTACAGGCGTAGTCGATCTTAATATTTTTCTCACAGGTGGCTTTGTACACGTCTGTTAGAAAATGCGAGGGCGGAAAGAATGACCCATCTCTACCCCCAGAAACAGCCATTATTTTGTCAAACCTGTTCCTTTCTTCTCTTCCTCCAGCTCATGATACAAATGCACTTTGAAGTCTACGTTTCTCATGAAATATTGTCCCAAGGATTTTTATATCCGTTAAAGAAAAAGACTGCTCACTTAGGAGGGAGATTTTTACTAGTTTTCATCCTCTTAATATTTTAGCGAGGGTTTAAAACTATTTACAGTCTTTTGTATTTAACCAAATGGCTTTTCTCTTTTGTGTTTTCCCGATTTTAGATGTCCTGAACGATGCTATATTTGATGAGGATCATGATGAGATGGTGATTGTAAAGGACATTGACATGTTTTCCATGTGTGAACATCACCTCGTTCCGTTTGTGGGAAGGGTAAGGTTCTTCTTGTTGCCTAGTAATTTAAGACTGTATAATGAAAGTCTTAAGTTAGGATAATGATATTTTAGACTGTCAACTGATCCTTAATATTCTCTATTTATAGTTTCACAGGTATTTTTTTACACTATCAATTTTGGCTAACCTAATAATTGGAAATTTAAGCTGGGATGTGGGAGGCTGCACTAGAGAGGCAGAGGCAGAGGATCTCTGTGAGTTTGAGGCCAGCCTGGCGTACAGAGTGAGTTTCAGGACAGCCAAGGCTACATGGAGAAACCCTGTCTTGAAAAAACCACTTTTTAAAAAAGGAAGTTTAAAAAGAACCAGCTAGGTGTGGTGGCACGTACCTATAATCTCAGCACTCAGGAGGCAGAGGCGGGAGGGTAGAGTGTTTGAAGCCAGTCTATGTCACACAGAGAGGCCTTGTCTCAAAAACCAACAGAACAACAACCAAAGATGATCAGAACCAGCCTTTTGTCTTTAATGCTGTGCTAGTAGGTTGGGGTGATGAGGTTAAAATTTAATCCTTTAACGGTGGTTGCTGAAGCTCTAAAAAGTTTGTTGTATTTTGATTGAACTGTTTAATCCAATATCCATGTGTGCAGAGTGTGAGAGTGTGACATCATGACATGAACAGGTATGACTGCAAAGTTTCTAGAGGCAGAGGTTATGGTAGTAGTGGATTTAATTGGATTCTATCCCTTTTATAGTAGGAAAAAAATCTAATGCAAGCTAGATAACAATAGGTCATGTAGTTGTCATTCAACATACCATTGAGAACACGTATGTTCTTTTTATGCCCACTATCATAATATTTTAATTCTATTTTGACTTTCTGTTATTAATTTTCCAATAGAAGACTTGTAGGGAATAATATGAATTTAGCCATTATCTAAAGTTAATAAGTACTAATATCTGCTTGGCTTTTTTGTTAAAATATTTTGTTTTGCTTTCTTATGGTGGAAAACATAGAAATAGCATAACACACAAAGATATGTTTCTTTTCATTGTTACACATTATTACATTGTACAAACTGCAATTCAGTGCTTGGTGGACTTTGTGTTTTCTTTTCTTGCAATTAAAAACAATATGTTTTCTTTTGGTACACATATGCATACATTTTTGTTAGGGATGTATCTAGGAATGTGACTGTAGGATCATAAGTGCGTTGTGGGTATTTGAAAGCACTGTGACACCCTGAGACTGTGTTAATAAAGTTAATCTTGCATCGGAGGTGGAGCCAAGGACTAGTTGACAAGAATCAGTCCTAGAGTATATGGAGGACCCAGGATACATATAGAGAGGCATAGGAAGGAATAGGGAGGGACTTGGAGATTCATGGGCTTTTGGACTTCTTCAATCTGGGAAGTGTGGAGAGAAGGTCAGCTGGTCGCTCCTCCCCCATTTCTTTGATCTCTCAGGTTTTCACCCCAATATTAAGACTCTTGAGTCTTAATTGGTAATAAGTGTGTCACTATTCACCTTACTCCCTGTTGATTTTGGCTCTGCAAAGTGGTTGTACCAAATTTCTCTCCCAGGAACATGTGGAAGTTTTCAATATTTAATATTCTAACAGCACTTGGCACTATCCTCTGTAGTATAGTATTCAATGCACTGTCTGTTTGTCTGTCTGTCTGTCCATCTATTTATCATCTATCCATCTCTGAACTCCACGTCTTCCTATTGAAGAAGACGCTGGTTATTCTACAGAGTGCACAACCTTCTGGATTTGTTCACACAACCTCTGGATTGCCTATGAACTGGACTAGATTTGTAGTATTAGGCTGAACATTTCTGACCTAAATAGTTCACTGAGTGCTGAAGACTTAATATTATATCCCACCAGGAGGCAGGCGCGTGATGTCTGGCCATCCACAGTTAATGTTGAGGGAACCTTTTTGCTTACCCTTGCCTTTTATCGTGGGTGAGAAGCGAAGCTAGTCTCTTTCCAAGTGGCCAGCCGGGCTGCACCCCAGGTACTTTATGCTGCTGCCAGCCCCTCGCTGTTGTACCATGCTGCCTTCCGTGATGAGTGATCTCCATGTTTGTGCTACTTAGCCTTTTCCTCTGTCTATCAGGAAGATACTTCTCAAACTCTTCAGCATAGTGCTAAGTACTGCTACTACTACCTGCATTCTATGAAGGTATGGTCAGTATTAGGTGAACATGTGAAAACTGGTTCATGCTGGCACTTAGGATGCAGCTTAAGCTTGGGAGCTTAAATTTGGTTGACTGCCAGCAAATGGCCCCTTACTTTGTAAGTCCTTTTACAGGTATGTTTTCTCATACTTTAATTCTTGTCTCAAAAGTGGTAACATTTACACTACAGATATTCATCCACTGATATATTAAGATGTTAGTGTTCCGGCACTTGGGAGGCAGAGGCAGGTGGAACTCCTGTTTGAGGCTAGCCTGAACTACAGAATGAGTTCCAGGATAGCCAGGGTTAAACAGAGAAACCCCTGTCTCAAAACAACAATGGTAACAACAACAAACATAAAACAAAGCAAAAGAGCCTGGGTCGTAGGTTCATGTTCTTTAAGAGCCATCATGTGCTGACTGTGTCCTTTTCCTGCTGTGGGGTGAGGATGATGGAGCTCTCCAGCATCTCAGAAGGGACAACTAAGAGTAAAAGGACATGGAAACAAGTGTGTGGCAGGGCTCGGGGATGGGATTCTTAAAGTTATATGACACATGTAATAGCAACATGTATATATAGTTTCTGCAACTTAAAGGAGTCTCTTCTGATTGATGTTATAGGGTCATTTTCTTTCTTTATTGAGTGTCTTTTTTCTAGATAGAGGATAAACTTTCAGATTTGAATCAAGAACTGAACTTTACCAAGGAGCATTAAAACTTTTGTCATTTTAGCAGCGAGTTTGTCTGTTCTTATATAGTTTTTATCGTCTTTTATGATCTTCATATAACTTGAAAATATGTATGGAACTGCTTCACAAGTTTTAAAGACACGTTGTCACTGTGATAAATTTACATATATGTACACTATGGTCTTACTATGTCCAGTTATGTTGTTACAAAGAAGTGCTGTTCTTCATTTAGCTGATAATTTCTCTCTTCCCTGAAGGTCCACATTGGTTACCTTCCTAACAAGCAAGTTCTTGGCCTCAGCAAACTTGCCAGGTAAGTATGAGCTTTATAGAATTATCCCTATCTGCTGAGACCCTCAAGATATTTACCTCCACTCTATGGATCTAACTTAGAAGTTATATTGTAATTTAAAAATATGTACTTGCAGCTGGGTGTTGGTGGTGCACACCTTTAATCCCAGCACTCTGAGGCAGAGGCAGGGAATCTCTGTGAGTTCAAGGCCAGTCTGGTCTACAGAGTGAGTTCCAAGACAGGCTCCAAAGCTAGAGAGAAATCCTGTCTCAGAAAAAAGAAAAACTCACACAAATATGTATTTGCATAGGCAGCTCTACTTTCAAGATCAGAAACACTGTGTCTCTTCCTTCTTATCTTCTACTGCCTGTTGCTCTCTCCCCCAGCCCACTGTCTGACATATGAGCTGAAAAATTTGTAGAATTTTCCCTAACTGGAAAAGATCCAAGATTATCCCCAATCTAGCCCTGGGTCTTAAGGGGTTGGTTGATTAACAGGGAGGGGAAGAAACATGTGCATGGGTCTAACTGTACTATCTTTATATTGGGGAGCATCTGTATATATGGAGGACAGTGTCAAGTGCACTGTAGGAAATACTTTTGTGTTTATATAAATCATGTAGCAAAACACAGATCTAGAAGATTGAATTTGGTTTTATACTTACAACAAGGCCTAGTCTTATGAAGACATGTCACCTGCCTCCTGCATTCATTCCCAGTGGATGCAAGTAGAGGTTTTTGATTATCTCACTGTCCAAGATTTTCTACCAGGGTATATTCTTTTATGTTCATGAACTGAACAGAAACAACTAGAGACTATATCATGTTAGTGAGTTTTCTCCATTCTTATGGAGCTAGAAAGGGCTTGTGGTCACACGGCCTTTATATGTTCTTTATTGGGGTTTCCCTCCATTGTGAATTCTTCATGTTATCAAACAGAACTGGATTGATTGATGCTTTCCAACATTGCTGACAGATAAGTTTTCTCTCTAGTGTGAGTATGTTCATGTTTGCCAGCGTACAAAAAGAAAAAAAGAAGTGAAGATTTCTGTTATACAATACAGTTTCTCTGCACTGCATACTTAATTGTGTGTTGGAAAGTTACTCATAAAAAAATTCATAGGACTTCTGTCTACTGTGAACCCTTTCATGTGAATGAAAGAACTGGGACAAGTGAAGGATTTCCATTTTGTTTACACATAGTGTTTGTCTCTAGTATGAATTCTACTGTGTCATAGAAAGAATTATAATCAGTGAAGGTTTTCCCACATTCCTTAGATATATGGTATTTCTGTCTGGTATGAATCATTTCATGTTTCAGAAAGCATTGAGGGTAACTGAAGGTTTCCCATCCTTACATGTGTGTCTTCTCTCCATATTCCGGGAACTGAACTCCAATGGGCATACTTGGGATGAATGGCCAAGTGGAGCTTTTGTACTCATTGTTCCTGCACAGTTTTACACAAGGAGGAGTTTTCTTATTCACTGTGTGGTCTGGAGATCAGATAAAGGTTTCTCTGTATGACCACCTTTTTTGTGTTCTGAGTCTCTTTACCCTTTCACTTTGTAGCTTTCTTCTAGAGTTTTTATAGTATTTTCAGTGTTCTGGCGTTCCATTATTTTCAGTTTCCAAACTTTTACAGTGTTGTAGTTTCTTAACCAGGACTCTTGGAGGTCTCACAGTATTGGGAGCCAAGCCACTTGGGGGCTCTCTTAGCATGTGAGATATGTGTATGTGTTTTTAAGCTTTGACAAATCTGTATGTGGGGCTCTGCCTTCCACTTGCTTTTGTTTGTACCTGTGCCTTGTGTTTCTCAGGGTCCTGCAGGCTAGTCCATTCACTTCTAGGTCATTTGCCTCTGCAGATACAGGGCACATCACCCTTTACTTTGCTTTCTCCCATCTTTTTTCCTTACATGTTCATGAATTCAAAAAATCATTTTTGAGCTGGGCATGATGGCACACATTTTTAAGTCTACTACCCAGGAGGTAGGGGCAGGTAGATCTCTGTGAATTCAAGACTAGCCTGGTCTACAAAGTGACTTTTAGGACAGCTGAGGCTATGTAGAAAGACCCTGTCTCAAAAAATAAAGCAAATCAATAACAAAAAAAAAAAAAAATCTGCTCCTACTTTTATTTTGGATTTGGGAAGAAGAGGTGATGCGTATACATAACAATTTGTGTTTAACTGGAAGTCAATATGAGGATCTGTGTTCATATACCTCTTCTAGACCGTAACCACCAGTGTTTTATTGCTCCTAAATGTCCTTTTGTGTTTTAATGGGAGTTAGTGAATCCTGGGTTATCTGGGGGAAATGCTGGGAGGTGTGTGTGTGTGTGTGTGTGTGTAGGTAGTGAATGTGCACTCATTGCATTTCAAGTTAAGTTTGAATCACTTGATTTGATTGAGGTTACAGCGACCTTAGTCACAACGGAACAAGTGAATCTCTGTGACTGACTGTTCTGTGACTTTGATGGGTTATAGTGAGATTTGCCATAGTCCTGAAGTGGTAGCCCTCATCTTTTTTATTCCTTTCTTGGGGTCTTTATAAACCTGTGGAGGTTTGAATAAGAATGTTCCCCATCGGCTCATGTGTTTGAACCCTTGGTTTCCAGTTATTGGCACTTGGGGATCTTGGATGTCTGGCAAAGTGAAGGAGTATGTCAGTGGGGGTGGGCTTTGAGGTTTCAAAAGCTTCATGCCTTTCCCAGTTTGCTCTCTGTACTTTGTGCTTTTAGTTTAAGATGTGAACTGTCAGATTGCTATTCAAGGTTCTGTGTCTGCCTGCTGCCATGACTCCCCACCAAGATGGCATTGGATTCTTATCCCTGTTGGTCCATAAGCCCAGATAAATCCCTGCTTTATAAGTTGGCATGGTCATGATGTTTTATCACAGCAACAGAAAAGTAAGAGTAGTCTTCCCCCAGTTACTTACTTCCAAATAATATTAAAAACAAATTTAGATGTATCAATTGTGAATAATAGTACCATCAGCATGCTTATTGTACACAGTCATATAGGCCTAACATTCTGGCATTCTATTTTTTATCAAGAATTCCAACTCTATGATTTTATCATCTATATGGGCAAGATGGAGTTGGGGGATGGCTTCCATACAAGTTTCAAAGAGAACTATAAGCATACATGTGGTCTTTTTTGTTTCTCTTTCTTTGGTGCTGAGAATCAAGGCCAGGGTTTCATTCAGTCTAGGCAAGTGAGTGGCCCTGTCACTGAGCCATACTCCCAGACCCTGAAGACCTTGAAGAGCATCTCTGCTGATCAGGGCTGACAGTATGAGTAACGGTTTCTAGGGTGATCCAGTGGGGTCATAGAATGAATGATGACCCAGAGGCACAGGAGGGCAGTCTTGCTTCTGTTCTTTCCTGGGGAAAAGATCTCAAATAGTTAAATCTTCCATGAAGCAATGCAAAGGAGCTGATTGGTCAAATGAGGATTTGCCACTGTGCTAATAAGATTAACACTTAGGAATAAAACAGAGAACCAAACCAAAGCATTGAGTGTGTGTTACTTTCGCATTTTATAAAAACTGGAAGAAAGGGTCTGTTAAACAGGAAAGTCAACTGAGGATTTCTATCCCTCTGCCTATTTCTTTTAGGAAGTAAGAACGCTTAGAGAAGAAGGAGTAATAAAGAATACTGCATCTTAGCAAAGCCTCCCTGTTCATTTTAATCTTGTGTGTGAAGTTTGTTGTGTGCTCACCTTTAATGCATGACCTTTCTGTTCCTGTAAAGTCAAATATCAAACAGGAAGGCCTTGAGTTACAGGAGGGTACCAGAAGTGAGCTGCTTTGGCTCTAGGGGAAGTCTAGAATGAACTCACATCAAATAGAAACCCCCTTTGTTGCTAAAAAGTTGTTTTCTTGCCCTAGAACAATTGAATGAATATAATTAAATCTTGAATTTGGAATTGTAGTTCCTGGGGATAGCCTTGGCCAACCTGTGTTTTGAGTTACCTGGTATGGAAGGGCTCTCTAGTCCAGCTACTGCCATGGTCAGAAGGAAGCAGCCAGAGAGTGATTGGAATGAAGTAGCTAGAGCCACAGGAATGCCCACCCTCATGCCCAAGGCCCTGGGTTCAACCCAAAGTGCCCAAAACAGGTTTGTTTGGAACTCTTAAGTTCAGAGCAAACATGATAACAGTGATGTGTTAGTGCTAAGAGAAACTGGGGCAGGGGGGATGCACAGAATTCTAAATGGGGTGCAGTTGGTGGTAATGGGGAGATGGCTCAGTCCCATAGTCTCTAAATATTTCAATAGTTTAAAGCCCAAGTTTTCTTTAAAGACCCACCATCTCTCTAAAAGTTCAAAGCCTGTCAACTGTGGGCTGCTATAGGAAAAACCATAAACAATAGATAACTACTTTCATACTCCAAGAGGGAAGAAACAGGGCACAGCTACACAAAGATCCAAGCAGAGCCACAGTGTAGCAGTGTAAAGTTGGGTGTGGGGTATTCACATCTGCTGGGCTTGAGAGCTCTGTTTTCCCAGTCCTCCACCCACAGCACACACAGGGAGTCTAGCAGGCCCAGATGGCTCCACTCCACAGCTGCTGTCCACCTTGGTGGTTATCTTGTGGTACTAGCATCTCTAAAATGCTCTGGTCTCTGTTGAGGCTGGGTTGCACTTGGCCAATGGCCTTTTGGGCTCTTTTCAGGGACCCTGACCCTACCACACAAGTCTCAATTTCTCTCCATGACCCTTGCAATCCCAATCTGGGGGCTTCTGCTACAACAGAGGCTGCACCTTCACCAATGGCCATTCCTGCCCTCTCACAGTGCCAAACCTCAGCTGCTGTCCTTGACACCTTTGTGACTTCAGAACCAGTAGCATGTGTGAGACTCTTATACATTACTAAATTTGGCGGCCAGCATGAGATGCAGCCTCAGTCACCTCTGGATTACAGCTGACCCTAAGGAAACACTTCCCATCAATGATGCTGGTCTCTTCTAAATCTCTGCTTATTCTTCAGTCCTGGCTGGCCTGTATGGATTGTTCCAGCAAAGTAAAGGTTTCATTTCAATGGTGCTAGTCTCTTGTTAATCACAGCTGATTCAACTCCAGCTTATTAGACACTATAAATTCTTAATTCCAAATATCACATGAATGGTGCTGATAGACACTGATTCACTCTGAAACCTCACAAACCTGGCTTCCATTGTCTGGATTGTTCTCAGCCTTGTCTTTCCAGCTTCCCACAACAGCTCATGAAGCACTGAACCCTCAATGGCTTTTCCAGGCCAAAATTTCCAAATCCTTCACAGACCTCCTATAACGCATGGTCATGTCTGTCACAGAAATAGTCCACCCTCTGGTACCTGTTTTTGTCCCATTTAGGATTATTACTACTGTGATAACACACCATAACCAAAATCAGGTTGGGGAGGGATGGGCAGGGACTCAAGGCAGGCACCTAGAAGCAGGACTGAAGTGGAGACTGTGGAGGATGCTGCTTAATGCCTTGCTCCCCGTGACTTGCTCAATCTGTTATCTTATTACTACCATCCTGGACCATCTGCCCAAAGATGACACTGACCCTAATGAGCTGGACCCTCCAACATCAACCAACAAAATGCCCTGTAGACCTGCCTACAGGCCAAACTTGTGAGGACATTTTCTCAATTAGGATTCTCCCTTCCCAGCTATATCCATGTTTGTGTCAAGATGAAAAAATCAAACAGCACACATGTTCTTTACTTGCAAAACAAATAAGTAAACAAACGAATAAATGAATAAATAAATAAAAGCTCTCTGAGTACAGGGAGCATGTTTGCCACATAACCAGATAGGCACTCAATAAATATCTACATGAATGATCCACCCTCTGCCTCCCAGTACTGGGAATGGAACCAAGGCCTTGTACATGCTCGGCAAGTGCTCTACCACTGATATACACCTCCAGCCATATGGGATGGTCCTCTTTATATGAAAGCAACTCACCACTAGAAATAGACAAGCATTTTAGGTGATTTAAAGACATGTCAGTGACATTCCTATTGGAGTGAAACACAGACACCCAATTTTACCACCATTTACCTAATATTACACCCTCAACTCTACTTAAAAAAAAATGCTAGAAAGAGTTTTTGAAGTATAAATCAATGACATCTCCTACTTGCTTGACATACTAATCACCTCAAAAATTGTCAGAAGTAATATTTACAAAAATTTAGCCCAGTAGCTTCTATCTCTGGTCTTAAAAACCACTATTTTGCTCAAACTAAAACAATACCCCATCTCTTCAGCATTTTAAACCACTGGGCCCAAGAATCAGAGTGGCTTCTGCCCATAAGGGATCCCCAGACTGGGGGGGGGGGGTAAACTTGATGGTATTTCTGCAACTAAGTGTGTCTATGATAGCTAAAATGGAGCAGTTTGCCAGGGAGGTATATAGGCAGGGTGTGTGTGTGTGTGTGTGTGTGTGTGTGTGTGAGAGAGAGAGAGAGAGAGAGAGAGAGAGAGAGAGAGAGAGAATGTCTCAGAAGAAGCGACTAGTAAGTGGAGCGCAGATCATGAGCAAATGACACCGTTTTAAAGAAAAGGTCTGTATCGTGAATTGCCACCTTCACGTGGGCTGGCCACACTGCCACCTGGCAGGATTCATTGTAAGTCCAGGAGCCTCTTATTTGGGAGAGCATTAATCCCGTGAAATACTTATATAAACCTTTCATAAAGAAATGCCTGAAGAAATCTAATCTGCTCTAATCTGATTACTCTAATAGATTTAGGTGGTTCAGTAGTTGGCCTACTATTAATTAACAAATACCTTCTTATTTTTAACTTGAACTTTAAGCTCTGATAAGACAATATGATTAATTAGAGCACTTGAGACTTAGCCTGAAATTGATGACCAGGGAGCATCAAAGGTATGTTACTCCCCTGCAATTACGTTTTTTCCTGAGTTTCCTGCTATGCTTGAGGACTTACTCGTCCTCCCTGTCTCTCTTCAGGGACATAGGAAGCAGAGCTGCTGTGTGACTGGTGATCTCTGTTTGAATGTCTTCTCTCCCCACAAGCCATCTCTCCTGCCCAGATCCCACTGTTGCTGACACGAGGAAGGTTTGCCAAATTCATCTCAAACGTGTGACTAACTAAAACCATTCCTTCTTTTCTAGGATTGTAGAAATCTATAGTAGAAGACTACAAGGTAAACATTTACAATCTTTATTTACTTTCCCCACAGAACAAATAGTTTTACTCTGTTACAAGTGTAATGAATAAAAAGGGCAGAAATAGAGCCCTGCCAGGGAGGTACAAGACTGTGTGTTTAAACCCTATTGTGCTTTTATATTCCTTCTATATCGATGCATGTGTCAACATTTTCAAATCAGATTCTACACATGTTGAACAACCCCCACACCTCACACCCCTAACCATGTCATTTCTTTCTGTGGCTGTTTTAAATTCCACTGTGTGAACTAATCTGCTAGCCAATCTCTACCCTGGTAGACATTTGGGAATTTTTGTCAGTTTTCCAACACTGGCACTGTTCTGAGGACACCTTTGTATGCATTCAAAGACAAGTTATGTTTGTCAGCATAAGAAACTGAATTATTTAGGTTCCAGCACTGGTTTTCAACAGTTCAGCAGTTAGCTTTCATGCTAACTCTGCCGCAAGGCGATTAACTCTTCACTCCACTCTACATCTATGGAGATGCTTGTGAGCCAGGTGCTGGAGGATCAGGGGTTTCCCCAGGACCTGAGTACTCGTGAGAACACAGACTAGGGGCTTCCTTGAGACGTAGCAGATAGAATAATATTGGAGAAAGCTGGCATGTGTTGGATGTTAAATCCCACAGAGGTCTGCTTTGTAAGATCACAGATATTCTACAGGCAAAAACAAAACCCCAAAACCATACACACAAAACAAAACAAACAAACAAACAAAACTTCCCTCTGTTTGTGTCTGGATTTTAAACCTATCTCTCTGTCACACCCCACAGTTCAAGAGCGCCTCACCAAACAAATTGCAGTGGCCATCACAGAAGCCTTGCAGCCTGCTGGTGTTGGGGTAGTGATTGAAGCAACGTAAGTCTAAACCACCTTTGATAAGGTCTCAGTGGTACCAACAGTGACCTCCACCTTTAGCGCCTCTCTGCTCCTCTGGGACCAAGCAAGGACCACTTGTGGCTGCCGGTGGCCCCCCATGGGCCTGCAGCCGATTCCTTCCCTTCCCCCTGTGGTGCTGACGGAGGGAGGAGCCAGGGCATAGAAAGGGGATGCTCTGTTTTTTACCTTACTTGAATCCTATGCACATGTGTGCTGGTGGTGTTTGTGGAGGCCTGAGGTAGTCACAGGTAGTTGTGAGCCCCCCTGAAATGGGTTCCAGGAGCCACATTTGGTGTTCTCTTAATCACTGAGCCATCACCAGCCCCTGGCTTTTGTTTTTTCCTCTTGTGAACTTTGGAGCTTTTGGGAGTCAGATGTATCATTGCAGAATTTTATATGTACAGCCAGTAGTATTTTTGTGTCTTGACTTTTTCCTTAGCTTTTGTTGTGAGAGCATATTTGCCCAATTTAAAAAAAAAAAGTAAGAATTGGTACAAAGGGCAATTGAAGACATGGTTTTTAAAAAGAGTAAATATTTCCTCATTTTTTCAATTTAACTGTTAACTGAGGTTTTGGTAAACATGGAAACAATCTGCTGATAATCTACAACAGTGTCTTGATAGCTGTAAGACTGCAGTGCTTAAGTGGGGGTTAACAGTTCCTTATTTCCCATTCACCGTTCCTCTATAAGTAAAAAAGTATTCAAATGCTTCCTCCTGCCTTTTGAAATAATGCAGACAACATTGTCATCTCTGCTTACTCCACCCTACAACAGCAGGCCAGGACTTCTCACTGGATTTAGGCCAGGACTTCTCACTGGATTCAGGCCAGGACTTCTCACTGGATTCAGGCCAGGACAACTCAGAGCCCATCTATCCAGCTCAGTGCTTTCAGCCTCTGGGAAGCCCTGTTCTGTTCCATGAGATCAACTCTCTCAGATCCCACATCAGAGTGTGTGCTTTCTGTGTCTGCCTTATTTCACTCCACTCCTGATCCCCAGCCGTTCTTGAACTTGGAGTGGGTTATGAGAACCTCATGCATTGTGTAGGCAGTTCTTACCAGGCTGTGGCAGTCCCTGAGTTCTGCCCTGTGTATGCTGTCTGCCTTCACCATGTTGCTTAGCCATACTGACTGCCTTTACCTTTATTCTGCTGGCAAGACAGTGTCCAAGAGCATCTCTTGGGACTCTCCTTGGCACAGTGCCATCATGGTATTGACAGTGGATCAAGCACAACTTCTTTCTTTTTCTTTCTTCCTTTCCTTCCCTTCTTCCTTCCCTCTTTTCTTCCTTCCTTCCTTCCTTCCTTCCTTCCTTCCTTCCTTCCTTCCTTCTTTCTTTCTTTCTTTCTTTCTTTCTTTCTTTCTGGTTTTTTGAGACAGGGTTTCTCTGTATTGCTTTGGAGCTTGTCCTGGAACTATCTCTGTAGACCAGGCTGGCCTCGAACTCACAGAGATCCACCTGCCTCTGCCTCCCAAGTTCTGGGAATAAACGTGTGTGCTGCCACCACCTGGCCTGAATTTCTTTTGATTTAAAACTTTTGTGCTTCCTCACCCAGGAAGGACATTTGCTTTTCCCCTTCTGGTTGGTTGTATCAATTACTTCAACCGCAAATAGGAATAAAAGCTATATGACATAAAATGATTCAAGGAAAGTTTAGTATTTTCCTAAGAAGGGATGTTGACATGGTTGATGACTATGAACTGGAATTGGTCGTGCTTTTTATTTAACTGAACGTAAGGCAGCACTGTCTACGCCTTTAAACTGGCACTGTCGTCTTGTTTTATAGGCACATGTGTATGGTAATGCGGGGGGTGCAGAAAATGAACAGCAAGACTGTGACCAGCACCATGCTGGGGGTGTTTCGGGAAGACCCAAAGACTCGGGAAGAGTTCCTCACACTCATCAGGAGCTGAACTCCGTGTGTACACACGACCTGGTTTGCAGACCCCACTGCTACCGGCGTTTTCCGTCTCAATCATGCATTCCAGTTTCAATTGGTACAGATGTGAATTTTATTTCTCACCATGAATTGTATTTAATAATTATTTATAGATATGTCAAATAAAAGTAATTAGCTAAGGGGTGAGCCTTCTGCTTTCTTCTTGCCACCTTCTTAGTGGCAATGTCTAAAGTGAACTGCCAAGAGTATAGGTCATCCACACGGACCACTGCCATTCAGATTCCCTCAGGGTGCTGTCAAGAAGGAGAATGCATGCGCTGGTTGACATTGTAATTGACTCATTAGCAGAGGGTCCTGTGGCCACTGTGCTGTGTTTTCCTCCTCTAGTGGACAGAGTCTAACTCTGAAGGAAGTGCTAGAGACAATAGATATACAGAGAGCATTGCTGTGTGCATTCAGAGATTTGTGAAACCACCAGTGACATTTTACTCAATATATTCACTGACTGTCTACCTGTATCGCTAGTCTCTGAGGGAAGGTGATTTGATACCTGTCTTTAATTTTGCTGTGCCTTAACAAGGCACTTTCTATATTTTAAAATTTGAGTAGAGGGAATTCGTTCCTGGAGTTGCTTATGAGTTCATTTTCATGTCAGCATACATGGATGGAGAGGGCTGACTCTGTGCCTTGGTGAGAATATTGAACCATTTGAAGTGTAGGTACTTTTGCCATCTTTTAGGAAAAGCCATTACTTCATAAGTTTATAAGTGCCAACTGCAGGTAACTAGCCATTGCCGACTTCCTGTTAGAAGTTCTTGGGAGTTTATTTTGTATGTTCCAAGGAAATGCTTCATAGCATCTCAAAAACTCTTAGGAAGTATTTTTCTAAGTATTTCCAGGATCTGTTGAGACCACCTAGCTCCTCTGGACTGGGAGGAGCACAGAATGGGCTCCCAGCCTGGGGCTGGGTCCAACGCTCTGGGCCAAGCTGTTATGCTGGTGTCTGCAGATGCCCTGGGGACTTGGGTCTAGTTCCTTCCTTGTCTTCAGTACAAGTGTGTTCAGATGGTGTAGCTGTTCAGGAAGCTTGGCTTATTACCACTTAGTTTAAATACCCTGCACTGGGACAGTGTGGGCCAAGTGAGAGCAAAGCAGGTAGCCCCCCCCCATGTGCTCTCTCTCTCTCTCTCTCTCTCTCTCTCTCACACACACACACACACACACACACACACACACACACACACACACACACACGGCTGCTCCATGAAGAAGTCTCCCATTGGCTAACAGTGCTATAATCCTACCACTGCCACTTAGACACTCACTAGCCTATGATGAAGCAAGATGAGGGGGCTGGCTTTTTATTACTTTTACTTTTTTATCTCTGCCTTTTCCTGGCACTTTCTATATCTAGAGTTTCTAAAGCACAGTCAGGTTGGTTTCGGGTTCCCTTTAAAATCTGACCTGATAACAGTGTTAGGCCACTTACTATTAAACATTTCTAGGTAGAACACTAAGTGCTCATGTTTGGTATTTTAAAGTAAAAAGCAGTGTGACTTGACTTAGAGGGCCAAAGAAATTGTTCGACATACCTTCATCTGCTTGGAGTGATCATTTGTATCCCTTCTGAATGGCTCTGTTGGCTCATTCCCTAGAAGTTCTTAACAAAAGCTTGACATGTGCACAGGCTAGTCTCGTCAGTACGTGCAAAGTGACACCTTGTCTGTTTCACTCTGGTCTGTAGTACTTCAAAATTGCCTTTTCATGTCCATGACACTGAGTCCATCTGGGGGATTTTTAAAGAATTTGATGTATTTACATATACTGTTCAATTACACGGTTTGGATTTTCTGTATGTGTATGGATGTTCCCGAAGTTGGTTCTATTTAAATGATTAAAGTGTTATAATTTTGTTTCTGTGAATGTTTCTTTTTCAATCACCAGTATAAACACAGCATATCGAGTCATTTGATTGTTTTGGTTTTGTTTATCTAACATACCCTTCATAGAGGCTTTGTTCATCCAGTGAAGTGTAGAGTCCACATCTCCATGATAACACAAGGTGAGGCCCTGATAGCCCTCTTTGGTGTTACTAATTCCAGCCTCTTGCTGGTACTGGGAAAGGGAGGTCTGGGGCCGCTGCAGCCTCCTAGGGACAGGCACTGCTCCTGTGTGAGGAAGGAAGGTGGCTAGGGGCAGGAAGTGGAAAGGGTTTCCTCTCTTCTTTAGGAGGGCTCTCCCTAGGGACAACCAGAAGTGAGATGCAAAGGTTTTGCTGATTTTTTTCTGCTGTGCCTGAGTTCATGTCCTCCCTGGACAGTGGCTCCGGCCCTCACTGGCTGTCTGTGTGTGTAGGTGCCAGGCACTGGAGTGTCCCATTACTTCTTACAATACTGTGGATGTTGAGTGTTGAACCTGGCATTCTGAGGAATGTTCACTGGTAGAAAAATAACTCCCAAAACAAAGTGTCAGATGTCAGAACTGAAATGCCCAGCTAAGCCCAATCTGTTGGTCCTGGCATTGACCTCTGACCTTGTCATAAAGCAAGCATGTGAACCTGTGTGTTTGTACATCACACAATCACACATACATATACACCATACAGACAGACACACACCACACACACACTCACACACACACACACACACACCACACATACACCCACACACCATAAACACATACCACACACACACACACATCCACATACTACACACACACCATAAACACATCACACATACCATAAACACATACATACTACACACCATAAACACATAACACACACACACAGTTTAAAGCAATTCTGAGTGGCAGGGACTTCAGAGTTATTTTCTGCCAGTCATTTGAGAAGTTCCCTTAACCCATCAAGGGTAGCTAATCTCAGGTGAAATTTCCTCACTAGTCTGGGTCCTGGGTTTCTGAACATTAATGTGTGGACAAGCACAGAGCACAGGCATACAAAGTCCTCATCCAAGGATCATCTGAGTGCCTTTTCCCAGTTGTCCAAGTCACTTTCTTCCTGAATGGAAAGAGGAGATTGACTTCTGTGGTGTTGTTGACTATCCTAGCAGAATCTCTGTATTAGTTTAATATTGAAAAATAATCATAGGCTGGGTGTAATGTGACGTATATATGATACAGAGATCTGAAAACAGGAAGATCACACATTTAGGGCCAGCCTATTGTGACAGCCCCTATGTCAAAACATTAAAAAAAATGTATGCATTACTTTGTAGTTCCATCTAGTCTGAATTAAATGTTCAAACTGCCTTAAAATTACTTTTAATAGGTGCCTAGCACAAAGTTCAGATAACAAAACATCCCAACTGTGGAATGTGTGGCTTTGGAGTGGGGAGTGGCTTCTATACGTATCAGAATGTAACATTCTTCTGACCACTTTTATGGAGTTCTTTTAAAGTTAGTGGATGCTGTGCTGGGTGGTGGTGGTGTACACCTTTAATCCCAGCACTCAGGAGCAGAGGCAAACTCGGAGAGTTTGAGGCCAACCTGGTCTCAAAGCTACACAGAGAAACCCTGTCTGGAAAGAAAGAAAAAAAAGGTAGTGGATGCTAACTGTGAAAAAATGGAAAAGCAAAAGTATCTGCATAAAAAATGTGTCACTTTTCAGGGCTTTGAACACCCTGGCCTGGGAAAACGAGGCCCTAGGAGCTGAGTACAGAACCTCCTGAAATCTGGTTTCCTCCTGTCTTCACTGCATTTGCTCTTATAACACACACTGGCACAAAGCTCTGAAAGACCCAAAAGATAGGGAAAAAAGTCTCCCCTCTCTTCCTGCCACCCAGCACCCTCCCCTACCACCTCCCATGTCTTATGCATTCTCCCAAAAGCATCTCAAGCACATCCTCACACATTTATCTATATCACGATTCTCAGCCACTCATGCCTCTCCCAAACCACTTAGGAAACTTTTGTCAATACATATGCCTGCACCCTATGGAGAGCTACTCAAGTATCCTATAATTGTGTTTGGGGAGGTTAAAAAAAAAAAAAAAGCACAAACCCTTGGTTATTCCAGTGAGCTCCTTCTGTTTGAGAACTACTAGCTAAAAATACAGTTCCTCAGACCCAGGGGACCAGAGCGCCTGGAAACTAGTACTCAGCTGCTTGGGCAATTTGGGCAGAGAAGGGTGCATGGATTATTGTGGGAGAATGGGCTCCAGCATCGGGTTGAGGCAGTTAAGAGCATCTGCAATCACTCAGTTGATAAGCCTGAAGGTAAATTGCCCGTCAAGAGAGACTGTCTCCAGATTAATACAATCAGTGCTTCAATTACCTGTGTATGAGTAACTTATTTCTGAAGCTATTCTACTCCACCCCCTGACTCACTGTGGGAAACTTAGAAAATAGAGTAAGGTGAAAAGAAAAATACCGGTTTACTAATTGTACAACTCAGAAGTCACTACTGTTAATATTTGTTTTCTTTCATTTCATTAATTGTGTAAAAATATGTATACATAATAAATATAGTGACTTAAAGCAATTTCATCCAGACATTATTTCACCTGCATTTATCTCAGGATGTATTATTGATGGCTAAGGAGTGAAGCGTTAAACAAACCCCTTCTCACCTCCAATGTATAAGGATTGATTCCTAATTCTAACTCTGCCTTGGCCTTTCCCACACAGTTTTATCTTATTTAGGGTCAGACTTTGACATCTAGCCCTCCACTTACTGCCCCATCTTCTTTGGAGATGCTACAGTCCACATACCTCTCCCTCCCCTTCCTTGGTATGGCCACATCTTTAGCTTCGCTTAAAGAGTTGCATGGAATTCTATAGTATAAATGACACAGGCAACAATTATTTTCATGATGACAAGCCTTTAATTGTTTCCAGTTTCTTGGAATGTTACAGTGAACACCTCTATTTCCAGATGGTAGGATTCTAGTGTGGAGTCCTTGATACAAAATAACTCATCTGTCTCTTTCCCTAAAGTAGTGAGAAGTGATGTCTTCAGATGAGCTATTTGCTTGCCTCTGGCTCTCACATGGTACAGTCATCCTCATATATCTTAACTGTCTTATAGCTAAAGTTTTAATGGCACACAGCATCATTGGGGCAACATATCAACACTGAGATTGCTTGTACCTCCCTTGTGTATGTATGCTAAGTTCTGCAATGAACTCATTCTGGGTAAATCATACATCCACCATGACAGTGAATATACTGAGGAGTTCCAATTATGGGACCCACCAAACTGCCTATTTCATTCACCACTCACCACCAGCTCCTTCACATTTCAAAGGCTTTTGGTACATGCTTCAGGTCTGGCAAAGTATTACTAAATTCATGCTACGTTCACGACACACCAACACTGACCGTGTCATTTTTAAAGTGTGATATGTTACTAGGTGGGCGTATGCAAGGGTTTTGACACTAGATGTATTCAAGGAGGTTCAGTAAAGAAACTGACAACATGGCCACTCCATTATTAGGGTAACATTTTTATTGTGAATAAAAGAGAGAAAATATCCAGAGGCATCTGGCAGAGTTTAGAACAGAAAGAAGCAGATTGGACATGGCCAGGGCTAAGGATGTGGGAGTGTGGAAGACAATAGTAGAGATAGTGAGACAGCAAGAGATGGAGAGATGCCAGGTTAGAGAGGAGAGAGAGACAGAGACAGAGAGAATGAAGAGTAAGGAGGATAATTAGCTATGGGGAGGGAAGGGCCAGGAGACTAGTGTGGACTTTGAAATATATAATAGGTACTTGTGATACTGAGGAAGCCTGCAGGCTAGTACAGGCTTTGATAAGCTGATAGGTACCATAGGTAGCCATAGTTCCTTCTGTCACAAGAAAGAGAAATGACCCCTTTTGGTCACAAGTTTCTGAGGAATGCTGGCTTTTATTGAACCCTCCAGAAATGCTTCTAAAGTCCAGGTTGAGCTCATTTCTAGATATATGGACTGCTTGTGACCTACTGATTAGTGATTTCAGAGGCAGCAGAGCAGGGCACAGCTCCATGCTTTGTCACTGAATGAAAAAAAAAAAATAAAAGAAAGAAATAAGGAAAGGGCATGAGTGCTCGTAGGTATGGTGGAGGAGAAAGTTTATTGTAGATATTTAGGGGAGCATAGTCAGAGGCAGGGACATCAGGGAGAATCCAGAGTGGACATGACCAGGCTGAGCTGGGCCGTGTGGGAGGGAGGGGTAGAGAAATGGAGAAGGGAGAGAGGGAATCAGGTGCAGCAGCCAGGAGGACAAAGTTCCAAAAGGGAAGGCAGGGTGTGTAATTAAAATGGCTGGAGAGCTCCTGGGGGAAGGGCAGCCCAGCCCTGGGCTGGAGAGTTCAGGGAAGATGTCAGGCTCTGCAAGCCATACCGGGTCACAGGCAGGGACTGAGGGATGCTGGGAGAAGCTGGCAACCCTGTCCTGCTTTGATGGGTGAAATAGGCACCTCAGCTATTTGTCCCGGGTTAGAAACAGTTATCAGATGGCCACCCCCTGGCCCCCCAAATCAAAGTGCCTGTGGTGGGTGAAGAGCCCCAAGATGAGAGACAGTTCCAGGGTCAGCGTCTGCTGTCATACACTGGACGGCTCTTGACTGTGGTAGGTTAGCACATTACCTGGGATGGACAGTGAACACTCACCCCACCAGGGTCTTCCATGCAGAGAAGCACATAGAAGGAGATGTGGACAGCACAGACTCATCAGCGGGCCAGCTACTTCAGAATTCAGGGTTCTGGCTTCTGGGGACAGCCAGGAGCATGGCGTGTGCCAAGAAGTCTGGCCACCAGGTAGGTCGTGCCTGTGTTTTTTCCTATAAGTCTGAGGGGTTCCTTTAACCTCTTAAGGACACCAGCTCGGGTAAAACAGGATCCTTGGCTTCCCTGCAGAAAAGAATTTTGGGACGGACCAGTTATGAAGTGGAGCTGCCGTTTACTAAAGATGCTT